TATATAACTTAATTAAAATAATTAATTGATTCAGTTCAAAAAAAATAATTAATTGATTGGTTAAATACTTTTTTTGTCCTTCTACTATAGAAAAAAGTCATTTTTTAATTCCTGTACCGCAAAAATTTTTTTTTTAATATTTACTGTTTACAAATTTAGTTCCTTTTTAGTTTTTTCGTTAAATTTTAGCTGACATGGTAAGTTAATTAACGAAAAATTTGATTTTTTTCTTTACTTAAATGGAAAATCCATCCGGCAAAACTGATGGCATGGTCAAATTTTTTTTTAATTACCAATTTACCCTCATCTTCTTCCTTCATCCTCTCCTTCCTTCAGCCTTTTTTTTCTTTTTTTTTCTTTCTTTCAGGCGAACCTAGGAGCCTGGGTTCGTCGCGATGAACCCAGCTCGTGTGTTCGTCGCGAACCCAAAAGCCTGGGTTCATCGCGATGAAAAAAAAGAAAAAAGAGTAAATACAGTAAATAAAAAGAAAATGCAGAACTCTTCCCAAGCATGAATTTTGGATTAAAGCCTCCTCTTCTCCTCCCGACTTCCTCCGCGATGTCTTGATTCTCGCCGCAGATATGATTATAAAAAGATGGGGAGGGGAGGAAAGTCAAGAAAAGTGATTAAATGAGCAATAATTCTTGGATACGTTACTTTTTAGACCCCAATCTGTTCCTTAAAAATCTTTTTGAAGAAAAAGTGAATTGTAGTGTTCTTGATTTCACAATTAAACACTTTCATTCCCCTTTTTCTGTTCAGCAAGTTTCAGCTTACAGACTTGTCTGGCAAGACTCAAGTGTCAACTAACAGAAAACTCGAGATCCATTCTGTACTTTCCATCTGCACCATTTCTCAGCAACCAAACAGAGTATATAAAGAACAGAAAGACAAAACCAAAAAGTTTAATACCGAAACCACAACCATTTGAGAAGAATTACTGAACTAGGCGTTCCAACATCAAAAGATTCCACTTTCTCTTCTTCTAATTCTCTTCATGATTCTCGACCTCAAGCAAAGCATAAAAAACCTCAAAAATTCCAAATTCGTTCGGTTTCCATCATTTTCTCGGCAACCAATCAAAGATACCAAACTCACAAACATAATTTGACCAAAAGCCAAACCTTCACACTGAGACGTTCACACACGAAATAGATTAACATTCATGCACAGTCATGTTTACCTGAACTACGGCTGGCTGGACTCGAGACTCAGCAGAGATGATAGCAGTAGCGGCGGCGTTCACGGTCTCGACGCTGTCGTTGACGGTTCTCATCATCTTAGATTTTGTGGCGTGAAACGGTGCGCTCCTAGCATCAGGTTCACCGGCTTTGATCTCCGGCGAGAATCAAGACATCGCGGAGGAAGTCGGGAGGAGAAGAGGAGGCTTTAATCCAAAATTCATGCTTGGGCAGAGTTCTACATTTTCTTTTTATTTACTGTATTTACTCTTTTTTCTTTTTTTTCTTACCTTCTGGCAAATTATGTTCCGACGAGCTGTGTTCATCGCGACGAACCCACGAGCTGGGTTCATTGCGACGAACCCAGGCTCCTAGGTTCGCCTGAAGGAAAGAAAAAAAAGAAAAAAAAAGGCTGAAGGAAGGAGAGGATGGAGGAAGAAGACGAGGGTAAATTAATAATTAAAGAAAAAAATTTGGCCATGTAATCGAGTTTTGCCGAGTGAATTTTTCAGGTAATTTAAGTAAAGAAAAAAATAAAATTTTTTTTTGTTAATTAACCTACCACATCAGTTAAAATTTAATGGAAGGACTAAAAAAGAGCCAAATTTGTGAACAGTAAATACTAAAAAAGAGATTTTTTCGATACAATGATTAAAAAAAGATTTTTTCTTATAATAAAGGAACCAAAAAAGTTACTTAACCTACATTTAATTCTTGTTTTTTTTTTGGTAGAAGATTTAATTCTCTTTGATTAGAATATTTAAATTTATCTAATCATCTAATTAAAGGTGAATTAATTTGATTAATTATTTAATTAATTTTAATTAATTCCTAATCCATCAAACTTAATTATATTATTATTATTATTATTTATCTTTGAACTTAATTATATTTAATTTAATTTGAGTGATAACGTTAAAAAACATTTTAAAAACCAATCATCTTTATTTTAATGTTAATTTTGACCAAAACTTTTTGAAATCAAGCAATTTAGTTTAGAAATTTTAAATATTTTCAAATCAGTCCTCAATGTTTCAAATTTAAACCAATCAGCCCCTTAACTTTTAATTTTGAATGCAATTGGGCATGCATGTTCTCGATTTTATTCAATTCAATCAAAGTATTTTCAAACTTTGCCATTTCATCCATTTACTTTTTAAAGTCTACGTAATCAAAATAGAAAAAAAAATTAAAAGTTGAATAAATTTCCAAATGTTAAAAGTATAAAATCATATTTGACACAAAGGATCGTAAGATACGCATATATCCATTTTCACTCCTAATTGTATTTTAGATGACTTGTCTTACTTTATAATTTGGATAAATGATAACCTTTTTTTTTTAACATTTTTCACACTTAAATTTTTCATAATCAGATTTAATGTGGTATAAAAATTGAAATTAATTTGCTCTTATATAACTTAATTAAAATAATTAATTGATTCAGTTCAAAAAAAATAATTGATTGATTTAATTCTCTTTGATTAGAATATTTTAATTTAATTAATTGTTTAATTAATTTTAATTAATTCCTAATCAATCAAACTTAATAATATTTAATTTGAGTGATAAAGTTAAAAAAAAAAATTTTAAAAACCAATCATCTTTATTTTAATGTTAATTTTGACCAAAACTTTTTGAAATCAAGCAATTTATCTAGAAATTTTAAATCTTTTCAAATCAGTGCTCAATGTTTCAAATTTAAACCAATCAGCCCCTTAACTTTTAATTTTGATTGCAATTGGGCATGCATGTTCTTGATTTTATTCAATTCAATCTAAGTATTTTCAAACTTTGCAATTTCATCCATTTACTTTTTAAAGTCAACTTAATCAAAATAGAAAAAAAAAAAAAAATTAGAAGTTGAATAAATTTCCAAATGCTAGAGTATGAAACCATATTTAACGAAAAGGATTGTGAGGTAGGCATATAAATATATAATTTTTGAAATTTGGAATGGTCAACCAACAAA